GTTTCTACCCTTAGGATCTAGAGTGATTTTTGGTTTAAAACACAACAGAATTTCTCTGCTACTCTAAACATGAATGCAATTACAACATTCTTCATCTTGTTTTTCTTTTCTCCTTCATTGAAGCGCTGAATTCCCAACCCTTGATCAGAACTGCAGAGGTCTTTTGGAGCAGGGGTGAAATGTCTTTGAGCAACAAAAGAAGCTCTGGATAAATGAGAACCTAAACCAACTTCAGGACAGCCGTTTGTAGCTCTGAACTTGTAGGTAAAAAGCTTCTCCTCACCATATACAGAGCATACTATTATTATATCATGAGTTAGAAAGGCAAACGGGCTACATTTAACCATGAGTAACAAGAGAATTAAGAGAAATTATTGAATAAACATGAGTCAGATCTGTCATTATAGGGATTATGATCTAAATGTTGGGTATTAACAAATGACATCAGTTTTTCATCCAATATTCTCTATTTCAATGGATCACATCAAACAAGGTTAGTGACTTATAGGGATAATCCACACCTTCGTGGGATATGCACCGCAGAGGGATATGCGCTCGATTCCTGGAAGGTCTGGAGGATCGTTTGTCTCTCTCAGCTGTCCATTGAGGACGTCGAAGATATGTGGATATTTGGCTTGATGATCACTCGATTTCTTCTGATTGGAGTGGGAGGATATCTGGCTTTCTGGAAATTTGGGAAGTCGGGAGCGATTGGAGTGCGACCCGCACCCATGTCGAGCACCGCCCGGGCGGATGCCTCACAGACTGGGACGTTACTCGAGGTGAACCGTAAGCTGGACAATGTCCTTGCTGCGTTGCCGGTATTAGTGCGCAAAATGGATGTCATCTCGGAGAGGGTCACTGGACGGTGTGGTGATGTTTAATACCTAAATTGGCTTCACTGGAGGACGTGAATGATCAATACAGACTTTAAGGCAGAGAGGAAAATTATCTCTGCCTGACCCAAACAAAGTCCTGTTATCCAATCCGACGACATAAGCAGCCTTGGAGTTGCGTGCAACAACCCCCACGATGGAAGGAATGCAGACAGATGCTGTGAAAACCCGACCTACCCCCCCCCCCCCCCCCCCCCCGCCTTCAGATTGTGGTCTCTGCATAGCGAGGTCATCAAAACGGAGGCACTCAATGTGCTCTGTGCTTTCCCATGACCTCCCACCCACCTGTGGATACAGTTAGCTGAGCGCCACACGGGCTGCTCCCGCTGAGGAAACCAGGATCCCAGCCCCCCTCCCCACCGGGTCTCACGTTGTGAACTGTGACATTCGTGCTTACATGTTGAGGTGTTTTTTTGCATAGTAGAGCTACTCCCTGCCGGGTGTAACTCTGCTCTGCCTTTTTTTCCCTCACCCAATTCTCCTCATGTAATCCCCTCTTCATCTATTGAAATGAGTGCCGTTATGGCTGCTCTCGTGGTCTGCCTGTATCTGTTCTGTCTATATGTGTGTGTAATCTTGGTCAGGCTGTTCTGTGGAGTCAAGTTCCTATGCTCTGGTTCGCTGGAGCGCTGGCAATAAAATTCTCTCTGATTCTCTGATTCTGAAGTGTGTTAATGTGGAGCGGTTACAAACGTTTAGTAGGGGCCATCAGTAGCTCAACAGGTTGAGCGGGTTGTCCAGTAATCGGAAGGTTGCAGGTTCGATTCCGGCTCCGGACAGAGAATTCTGCTGTTGTGTCCTTGGGCAAGACACTTAACCCACCTTGCCTGCTGGTGGTGGTCGAAGGGACAAGGCGCCTGTGCTCGGCAGCCTCGCCTCTGTCAGTACGCCCCAGGGCAGCTGTAGCTACATCATAGCTCATCACCATCAGTGTGTGAATGTGTGTGTGAATGGATGAATGATACACTGTAGTAGCCTGGCAAGCCAAACTAAATAAATGTATTATTTAGTCTGACCACGCTCCATTGACGGCTTTCGGTTGTGGGGCGGGTTCTACCGTTGTCTTTCAAATGATCTTAGCATTCCACTGGACAATGAATGTGACATACTCTTGTTTCAGTCTGTTGTGTCATCCCACCCACCAGACATATAGAGTGCCCTGATTGGCCCACAAAGCGGATAAAGCTCTGTGATTTGTTCACTAAGCAGATAGAGCACTATGATTGGCCCACCACTATGGACCAATCACAGCTCTTTATGTGTTTGAAACCCCTCTAGAGAGCTGTGATTGGCTAGCCTGAGTCCTGGTAGGAGCTGTGGAGGTTCCAGTGGAGCATGCCTAGACCATTCTTTGCAAAGCAAGAATTTGGTCTAGTTCACTAGGCTAACACTGTAGTGTAAAGGGCTTTGGAGTCCTTACTCTGAGAGGCGCTATACAAGTGCGGGTCATTTAACACATTTAGTATCTTACCTGGTAGCTCTTTCAATGGCACTGGCTAGTCACAAGCAGGTTCAGAAACAAGATTCCACATGGAAATTAGCTGCAGAGCTAGCCATCGCAGCATTCATTTTTCTCCAATTTAAAATTATTTACAGGTTGTTAAATATTTTTTTCAACAGGAAACAGATTGTTGTTTTTATCTGTAAACAAAAACCATTTTAAAAACATCTGAACGAACCATATATAAGGTGAGTCTTGGTGCTTTATGTGCTTTGTCATTCTCTATGTACTAAAACCATCAAACATGACTAGGGCTGAAACGAATCATCGAATGGTTTGATTTATTAAACTCCCCAAATCAGTTTTTACTGATTTGAAGCTTCTTTAACTGTGCGCACCGCAGTCTGAACACATTTTACTGGCGCACAATGTGATCATCTAGGTGCTATGGAGGAAAATAGAGAAACCAGCAATGACAAAAACCATTGTAAAATGCAGAAACGCCCCAAACTTTGGGATCAGGAGTGAAACCACGGGCAGACTGGCTAATGATTATGCTAGAGGGTAGCACGCTCATGACAATCAAGTGGGATTCAGAAAAAACGTGATGGTTGTGAATGACCAAACTCTTCAAGCGGCAGAAAAATCCCCTCCATCCTGTTTATTTGTGGATGTCTGCAGCCGTGTGGAGCAGAGCCGCTGCAGCTACCCGGAGTCAGGTTGTTGCTACCGCAGCAGGGTTATGGCAAGCCGTTGTAGCATGAAATTCACAAACGCTTCTATCTTTGAATATAATTTGGATTGTATTATGTTGCCACCCCATACATAAAAACAAACATATACCACAATTTCATTGTTACTACGATAAATGAAATGTTAGCATTTCCAGTCACCTACTACTAGGGATGGGTACCTCTGACATCAGAATCGATACGGTATCAATTCCTAATACCTACAAATCAATACCGGTACTTAAAGGTACCGATTTTCGATACTTTTCAGTGTTTAATAATTATTTTAATGACTTTTTAAGTTAAATATATATTATTTTCCTAATATATAACCATATTTGATAACTATCACTATAATAACATACAACAGTTTGTATTTTCTTTTGTTTGTGTATTAGTTTCTAAATAGTGCAAAAACAAACCCAGCTCCATGTACTCCTAATCCTCTTCAATCCCCTCTGGAATAACTCTGATGAGGAGACCCACTGAACATGTTATTGAAATAAATAACTTGTACTGATCATGTGTAGATACACTGAGATATGTTATTTACACTAAGATGAGTGATATTAATACAACCTAAAATGTTAATGAAACATCGGTCACATTTTTCCAAAAATGTTTATTAACTATAAATATCAGCTGGGAAAGAGAGAACTAGATAAAACCAATTTATTACGTATTATTGACCCTTATATAATTCGGTTGTTTTATTTTGGTAAATGGTAAATGGCCTGTATTTGATATAGCGCCTTCTAGAGTCCTAGAACCCCCCGAGGCGCTTAACAACACAATCAGTCATTCACACATTCACACACTGGTGGGGATGAGCTACAATGTAGCCACAGCTGCCCTGGGGCGCACTGACAGAGGAGAGGCTGCCGAGCACTGGCGCCACCAATCCCTCTGACCACCACCAGCAGGCAACGTGGGTTAAGTGTCATGCCCAATGACACAACGACAGCAACAGACTGAGCGGGACTCGAACCAGCAACCTTCCGATTACGGGGTGAGCACTTAACTCCTGTGCCACCGTCGCCCCTAATTTAATATTTTCATTATTTTAGCATCAGACCACAATCTGGTTCCACTTGAAACATTATGAAATTGGATATTCGATTAATCGACAGGGTTTCGGTAGAATATTCAAATAGTAAAATATGCGATAGCTGTAGCCCTAAACTTGAGCACAAATCTGGTGTTTTTTTTGCCTAAAACTGAGTAGATCTGGACTATGGCTGTGAAGGAGAGAGCTCTTCTCCTTGAACACGGTACAGTAAGAGAACAGTGGCGCCCATCTGGAGGATTATTTGTCCAGCAGCAGCAGTGTGTCACATCCTGTATGAAAACCTCGTGTACTACTTAAGCACTGGAGACAGGGCCGTAACGAACGCTGCTCTGTGTAATCAACTGTGTAAACGCAGCTTTGTAATTAAGACACAGAAAAGCTCTCCCCTAAATTAGGTCGTCAAGGTCAAGATGAGACGAAGCAGATGCTTTCAAAGATACACACTACACACATGTACACAAGAACACGTAGGGTGTTTCTGTGTTAAGGGTAAACAAATAAACCCTGTGCTTCATATCCATAAGATCACATGTGTTGCTGTTCCTCGATTAAAGTCTTCATCAAGTTTATTACAGAGTGAAATGTCTCCCTCCGGATTCAAAGTCTCTAGTGATTAACAGATTACAGTTATTAAGCCCCCAGAACTGAATCAAACACTTCCTGGTGTCTTCTACTCTAATAGAAAAGATGGAGATGTGTTTGCTGTTCAGGGTGCAGAAGGCTTTCCTGGGACGGAACACACATTTTAAATGTAATACAGTGATTAACTGCCGGTTGCTCTAATGCTAACCTTCATTTAGCCGCTGAAATGCTACAGACTCACCTTATCTGCCTGCCTCATGTAACAGTAGAGGATCCCTCTCATGCACTTGATAGCAGAGTGCTCCAGTTCATGGGTTCGGCCCAAGTCGTCATCGATACGCCTGGAGAACAGAGAGAAAGCTTCAACAGGCAGCTCAGGTGTGGTTCCGATCTTTTCAAGTGGTTCTGTGGAATGGTAAAAATGGTAAATGGCCTGTATTTGATATAGCACCTTCTAGAGTCCTGCGACCCCCCAAGGTGCTTTACAACACAATCGGTCATTCACCCATCCACACACTGGTGGGGATGAGCTACAATAATGTAGCCACAGCCTCTGAGCGGGGCACACTGACAAGGGGCAAGTCTGCCGAACACAGGCGCCACCGGTCCCTCTGAGCACCACCAGCAGGCAAGGTGGGTTAAGTGTCTTGCCCAAGGACAGTGACAAACTGAGCGGGGCTCGAACCTGCAACCTTCCGATTACGAGGCGAGCAGATTAGTTTTGACTGGATTGTTAGGCTAACAGCTACTTTGAGTACGACCAAAGTGGATTACTGCCAGTTTACAACAACTTTTATCACCAAACTTTCCAAAAAAAAAAATCTCTTTTTTTTATTTTTATTTTTTTTAACCGTGTCCTGTCTGGCTGTGAAGCAAACAGAATTGATGTCTGAATGCTGGTAACAAGCCTTACAGATTTACAGGTGGAGCATCAAAGCGTCTGCTTTTAATGTCACGCCTGATACTTAACACTTTATTGATGCTGTTTTTGAATGCTTGTAATTCCGACCAGACACGGAGTCAGAGGTGAAAGAGAAAGGAAAAGACAAAAGGTGGGGAGAAGAGGGGGGGGGGGGGGGGGTCCACAAAAATAAACAATAATTAACAAGAGTCTGCTTCTAGACCTGCAGAAAGAGAAATAATAGAAGAAAAAAAATGGGACACACAACAATACATCAGGAGCAAGCTATGACTGCGTCAACCTGATGGTGAAATATAAAATCAACATTGCTTAACTGAACAATCACATGATAATAAATCATAGTGCATTTAGTGGCAACGACAGCCTTAAGACCTGTGTTGAACGTGCCCAAGCCCATACTTATGAGAGCACCATGTGAGCACCTGTGTGTGTACACGCGCTTGTTTATGTAAGGTTTCTCTACAGGAGCGTCCAATTGAGAGTGTGAGGGACCACAGATCCGCCCCCCAAAGATGCGTAGGAGACGGGGGGAGCTCCAAGTCCCAGAGATCCAGGTGCTGCCCCAGAACACAGGAACCCCAAGGAGACTGCAACCAGAAAGGCCCCCGCCCCCCTCGAGAGGCACAGAGGATCACCCCGGGGGGTCACAACAAGCAGCTGGCAGAGCCCCTGGAGATCTCAGCGGCAAGCCCACAGGCCCACAGCCTCCCACCCCCTAGCCGGCCGAGTGACCCAGGGGCGACCACCCCCGCCGGGGACCCAGCAGAGACCAGGGATCCAGACCGCACCAGGTAGCCACCGGGATTGACCAGGCAGGCGCCAAAGATCTTAAACCCCCTGACCTGGGAGCCAGGAACACTCAGGCAGACCAAGGCACCACACCCCACATCAGGTGTGGCAGGGGGAGGGGGGACGAAGATCTATATCATAAAAAGAAGTCCCAGGAGAAGAGAGGGGTCAAAGGCCCCACCTGACATATACAGTCATACACAAACAAAGTCACACACTCCCTCCCTCATGCTCACACATGCACATACAACCAAAGACTTACAAAAATGCACGCCGGGCACCCACTCATGCTCCCCATACACACCCTATTCACTCTGGTCCCGGTACTGCTGCACATTGGGTACAACCATCACCGGTTACCAGAGTTTGACCCTTTCTGCTGGGGTGCTGATAAGCAGGCTCCCCCGCCCAACGCTGAGCACAGCAACCCACCACCCAAGACCCCAACCGGACGGCCGAATCTCCCTCCTAGGCTCCAGCCCCAGGAAGCCAAGCAACAACAGAGGTGTGCTAAGACCCCTAGTGTCCCTCCGCCTGCTCCAATATAGTGTTGTGTGTTGAGGAGGTGTATTCCATGGCTGTGGTGAGCGGGCAGTGCGGGCATTGTCTGGCCTATGCCAGCTGATGCCACCACACCACCCCACTTGCACTTGCCATCGGTGTCTAAGTGCAGTTTAAAATTGGAAGTGGGCACCGGCACTCGGGAGGAGGCTGAGAAATCCCCCTGCCAAGTGCCGTTGAATGTGCTCACTCCCAAGGCCCTAAATGTGTGTTTGCGTGGAATGTCTTCGGTGGAATTGTATAAGGTGCAAATAAAATTGGGGGGCAGGTTGCCACAGGAATGCGGAAATGGAGTCCATACCCACACTCCCTGACTTGTCCACCCCCCAAGGTCCTATGTGCATGTTTGTGTGATGATGTGAGGGAGCAGGAGGAGAGAAATATGCGGGGATGGGGAGGAATGGCTGGTTGGGCCTAGCGATGCTGCTGCTTTGGGCCCTGGCAGGATGGGCTGGGGTCTCCATGCCCTGGGTGGCAATTTGACAGCAGAGGTGCCTATTGGGGCCAGTGGGGGAGCTGGCTCCCTGGAGGGCTAGGCCCATCCAGCCATAAATAAATATTCTAAAGAAATCAATAAACTTTATTAGGCCTCAGATATGTTGAGGTTTATGTTTAGAGACTTATTTTAAAAGGATGAAGGAAGTTGTATTACACTGTTGCAGAGGTAGCCAAAATTCCATCTTGCCTGGACCCTCCATTACAACAACAACAACTATAATACTAATAATCATAAATCATCATCATCATCATATTTAACTTGTAATTTCCTGAAATTTTTTTAAAAGGGATCTGCTGGCTGGCAAAAGAGAGTGCCTCTGTGTTACAGGACCAAGTCATGATACTTGGGTGATGTAGGGGTGAACACTCCAAAATCATAACATACAGTAGCACTCTTCCCACAGCTGAGCTGGTTGTTTTGATGTAACATTTGTGAGGGTGCACGCTCCTAATCAAGAGATAATTTTCTCTGGTGAAGAGGAAGTGGAAGAAGAAGTAACTAGAAAAATCCTGAGAACGTTTTTAAAAGGGTTCCTGCCGCTGGCACAAGACAGTGGCCAAGTGGTATAGAAGCCTAGCATCATAATATTGGGGTGATGTTTGGTTTATCGCCCACATATCATGATACAACACTTCCCACGGCTGAGTTGGTCGTTCTGATGTAACATGCATTGGGGTGCACGCTGCCGTTTTAACACATGTAATGATACTGGGGTTACCTTATCATTACATATAATTAATAAATACAGTAATTAACTAATTGTTTACATATTTAGTTATTTTGCAAACTGAGACATACACACACTGAAAAGGATTCACTGAAAAGGATTTTTTCAGTGTTTTTTGCTAATAGTTTTGCCATGGTTTATCAGACCGCTTGTAAAAGTAATTGGAAGAATAATAGTAAAGTAAGTAAGTACATTTTATTTATTTAGTACTCATCACCGACAGAGAATCACAAAGTGCTTCACATAGATCAACAACAAAACAAATCATAAAGTCATAAAACCATAAAGATCTTAAACAAAACAGAAATAAATACAAATAAAACAAACTCATAAAATTATAAAATATCATAAAACCAATTAAACATGATTACAAATTTGAGTTAAAAAATAGGAAAACAAAAATATTTGTGGTAAAACCAGCTTTAAATAAAAGGGTCTTCAGCTGTTTTTTAATGGTTACCAGACTGTCAGTACTACATAAGGTTAAAGGAAGTTCATTCCAAAGCCAGGGTGCAACAACCTGGAAGGAGCGATCACCTTGACTTTTAAATCTGGTCTTTGGAACTTCTTGGGTCGGATCAGAAGAAACAAAAAAGGATACAATCCTCGGGTGAAAAGCACTAAGGGCCTTGCCAAAAAGCAGCGTCAGCCTCGTCTTTACCCTTTCCCTTGACTTTGTCCTTTTAGAACTTTGCTTTATGACATCATCATCTTCATCATCATCATCTCCATCATCTGGTGATCATAAGCGGATTCTACCAGGCATTCAGTTCTCAGTGACGCACCGTCAGAGACAGTCGTGTTTGCTCGTTGTTCGATAGTGTTTCAACTTATCGTCTACGTGTTATTTAGCATTATGGGAGACTCTTTTGCACACAAGAGTTACTCTTCAGCTCTGGTTAAAGATTCAGAGACTTATATTAGCATGGAACAACTGCATTTTCAGAGAATCGTGGTTTAGTTTCAGCAACCAAACGAAAAGCCGTTTCAGACCCTGGACCTCCCACAAGAAGGTTTACGGTTTCTGATGAAGGCAAACTCTCTGCAAACAACCAGAACAAAATACAAATTGACAAATTCACAAAGAAATCCATTTCCTTTGATGGTGAGGGATCTGAAAATCCAGACAAGGAATGCAGATATTTGGTTCCTGAGAAAGGATCGTCCTCTGCCAAAAGGAAAGCTGTTTTTCATCACAAACCTCCCACAAAACGGTCTAGGGTTTCAGGTGAAGGCAGTGTCTCCAGACATAACCTGGATGAGACATCCAGAGTCTCAAAGAGGTCACTCTCACCAGATGGTGAGGGATCTGGAAGTCCAGCAAAGAGACTCAGACTGTCTGATTCTGAGAGTCCCTCGCCTTCAGCCAAAGATCAGTTTGAGGCTAAATACGAGCAAAAAGATCAGCTCGGAAAGGGAGGCTGTGGATCCGTTTATGGTGGCTACCGCAGGGCAGACAATTTACCTGTGGCAATCAAACATATACCAAAGAAAAATGTAGTCTGGACAGATACGGACGAGAACGGCCAGCAGCTCAGCATTGAGGTAGCCGCCATGCTAAAACTCCAGACAGAATCAGCTGATTCGGTGGGGAAGTCCGCTCCAATTTCCCTCCTGGACTGGTACGATTTCAACCAGGAACAGATTCTAGTGTTGGAGAGACCAGTGCCTGCAGTGGACCTCTCACAGTTTATTCAAAATAACAAAGAGCCCCTACAGGAGAATCAGGCTAAAACAATTATTAAACAGCTGGTTGATGCCGTCAAACATCTGGAGGACACCAACATCTTCCACAGAGACATCAAACCACGAAATATTCTGACTGAAACAGGATCAGAAATCCCGCGACTGCGACTGATTGACTTTGGAGTGAGTTGTTTCACCAACACAGAATATGAAAACGGCCGGTTCTACGGCACAGCGAAACACGTCCCTCCTGAGTTTATTTCAGAACGCATTTATGTTTATGTTTATTCATTTTGCAGACGCTTTTATCCAAAGTGACGTACAAGTTTTTTTTTTTCCTTTTTTTTTAATAACCTGTAGGGCATGTTGTGATGTGTGGGGGAAACAGGAGTACCCGGAGGAAACCCACGCATGCATGGGGAGAACACGCAACTCCATGCAGAAAGGCGAGTTTTGAACCTGCGACCTTCGTGCTGCGAGGCAACAGTGCTAACCACTGCGCCACCAATGCAGTGGAAAACGGCCGGTTCTACGGCACAGCGAAACACGTCCCTCCTGAGTTTATTTCAGAAAGCATTTATAAGGCAGGACCAGCAACCGTGTGGCAGGTGGGAGTTGTTCTCTATGAAATGCTCCACGAAAGTTTGTTTGACTCAAAAAAGTTTTTCAGGAACAAACTCAGAATCAGGACGGACCTCTCTCCATACTGTACGAACTTCCTAAAGAGCTGTTTCTGTATAAACCCATGGTGGCGTCCCACCTTAAAGCAGCTCCAGCGTGACCCTTGGCTTTGGTTAGACAAAAACTAAAGTCTTCAAAGCTCTGGACCCAATTCAACCGGCACCAAGCTAGATCCCTCCTAACTCGGACACCTCTCAACCCCTAACAGAGTCACCTATCATCTCCTACATTTCCCTCAACCCACTGCAGGACTGAGCCCAAAAAAAGGCCCTGGCAGTCCACCATAACTGTTTATATGATAGGATATGCAAAGGCACACAACACACCAGAGAATCAGCATGTTGTGTTAGTAACCAGAAAGAGGAAAATAAACAGCTGGATCAAGAAAAGTCTGTCAAACCCGACCCAGAGAAGAAAGTTGAGGTGATTCCTGCACCTCTCTCTCTAGAAAACCAGCGGAAACGTCAGACAACGAAGGGAACATCCTTCAACAGGAAACAGGAGAGAGAAAGTTAGTCACCAAGAAAATGTTAGAATAAATATTAATTCTCAAGCAGCAGGTGGAAAAAGCCAGAAACCAAAATCCAAATGGAAAATGTTAGAATGGTTTAGTTCCAATATGCAGATTTCAGCCTGAGACAGGCTGTTATTGGCTGCTTTAGTGTAGCTTTATCTGCTATTAGGTGTTATTACTTATAATAAATTATAATTTTATCCAATAAAAAAAAAAAAAACACACAACTAACTCTACCAGAGTGTCCCTCTCTGGGTCACTTCTGCCGGTCCCAAGCCCGGATAAAAGAGGAGGGGTTGAAATTGTGACACAGATAAAACATTACATGAGGAATTCATTCATTTGTGGTTTTAAACACATTTACATGAAGGAAGACATCAAGTGCTGCAGATGCCTGTTAATCACTCATTCATTTAAGTCAGGTGTGTGTGTGGTGACTGAGAGGGCAACATGGAAACCATGTGTAGCAGGGGGTCCTGAGGACTGGATTTGAGAAACACAAGAACGTATTAGCGTCCTCGAGTATTGAGAAACGGACCTGGCTGCAACAAAAAGTGTGCACAGGCCCTGCTATACCCAGATTCTTTATGATGTCATCATGCTGTGTTGTGATGTCATCACATCAAAGCAGAATAGAGTTCTTTTGTCCTACAGTTCATCAAACGTTCAGTTCTCAGTGAGACACCGACAGAGACAGTCGTATTTGATAGTTTTCAACTTATCGCCTACGCCTTATTTAGCTAGGCTCATCATTTAGAAAGAAAAAGTACTTTATTGGATGTTTCTGTTGAGACAGAAAGGGCCCAGCAGGGACCAATTTGGTGTTCCACCCCAAAGTTTTCATTGGCTCCATCTGGCTGCCCCTGTGGAAAGTTTCTGGGGTCACCACTGCTGGAGGCGAGTCCTCAGCCCCAGGGGGCGATCTACAACGAGACAAGGAGGGGAAACTACACCCAGCTGCCACACTTCTTTTGTAAGGGACCTAGAATGCAGTTAATCAGCAATCTAAAACTGATCTCTGAGCCTCTATAAAATGTATAAAATTTTGTAGGAGCTTAAAATCTCCCAGGAGATTATGTATATATATATATATATATATATATATATATACACACACACACACACACACACTATATATATAATTACCCCCAAAATTGTATAAATGACTTTATTACACAATGATTTTCCAACGTCAAACATCTGCTTAAAACTAAATAAAAGCAGTATTATTCCTGGAACACAGTTCCAATAACTCTAGTTTAACTCTAGTTTTAGTGCAAAACAGAACACTGTGCAGGTCACAGCATGAACATCCAAGTGTTTAACACAAAATAAAACTGTTTAACAGTCTCTAAGGAAGAGCACCCAGTTGTACAGCCTGAACAGAAGTGGTGAGTGATTTTTGAGGACCTCTTCTTTATGTTCTTCTTTAAATTCTCCAGAGTATCTTCATATGTTTTTTCCATCTGGTTTGTGAACCACCACCTGGATGGACATTTGAAGCCGGGACAGGCGTATTCGACCATATTGATGAACGCGTCACCCTCAACAAGAGACAAAGGCCTCATGTCTTTAACAATCAACTGTAAGATAAAAATATAAATATAGAAACAACATAGCATTCAACATTTAATTACTAGACAAATCACACAAGGACATGAAGAAAAAAAGAAGCCAACAAAAGCAAACGTTGGACATTAAAGAAACTGGACCCTATTGTCATATTTGTCATCTGTTTTTATCTAAATGAGGGTGAATTTTTTTTTTACATAGTTAGCAGTTTCCTCCTAAAAGATGCTGAAAGCAAGCAACAGTTAGCTAATATTTATTACTTACTTTCAAGATCCTTTTATTCAGCTCGGCTGGAGGTGTGCATTGCATCTCTTGCCCAAGATGAGACAAGGTTCTTTGCTTTGCTCTGGAAAACACAAAATCAATTCAAGGATTAAAAGCGTTTATTGTCAAATGCACAGTTAGAAACATGTTTCCCTGTTGCAATAAAGTCAACAATATAAGCTACACAGAAGTATAGGCTTTGCAGAATGCAAATGAGAACATATTTGGAGCATATCAGAACAACAGCTATGAAAGTATGGCATCTTAAATCTGCTCTTAGCCTTATTGCAGTGCTATGCCATGATTGTCATTTGAGAATGCTGGTGTGGCAAATTTTGTAATGTTAAGTCGTGCTTTGTACAACAATACATTTTGTCATTGCCTAGCAGCAATTACCTGGTTAGCCATTTGGGCCAGCATTATATGCTATCGCTACTTAAAGTTAGCTAAATAAAGCTGTATTTAGCCAAACCAAACACGCCCTACCGAAGTGTGCAGAGCTCACGCACATGTTACACAAACATGCAATCAATTTAGCAAACACTTACAATATGATATAATGTTACTTACTTCTGTTCGCGGGAGTCACGGGTAACAATGGGATGCCTCCACTTCAGATGCTCTCACATGGACGTTGTGCTGGTGTGATAAGCTAATTCCATGGTGCAAAGACTGCGAATAACGGCACTTTACGTTTTGTGCTCCGTTTAAAATATTCCCACACCATTGGGGTAGGGCGCCGGGGTCCCTGAGACATTGCTGCGGAGTCTATCAGATGAACGGCATTTTGTTCTCCACGCTGCTCTGTTTATGTCACGTGGTGCGTCGACTTCCGGATTTGACGTCGACGTTTTTTTAGAATGAATCCTCCACGTCATCGAGGCGTCGCTACAGGCCTAATACACACACACACACACACACACACACATATATATATATATATATATATATATATATATATATATATATATGTGTGTGTGTGTGTGTGTGAGTGTGTATATATATATATATATATATATACACATATATACACATATATATGTATATATATATATATATATACATACATACATACATAAATATATGTGTGTGTATATATATATATATGAACATTAAAACGTTGAAATGTTCATTAAAACGTTTAAATGTTCGTTAAAACATTAAAATGTTCATTACAATGTTAAAATGTTCATTAAAACGTTAAAATCTTCATAAAAATGTTAAAATCTTCATTTTTAAAAACGTTAAAATCTTCATTGAAACGTTTAAATGTTCATTAAAACATTAAAATGTTCATTACAATGTTAAAATGTTCATTAAAACGTTAAAATCTTCATAAAAATGTTAAAATCTTCATTTTTAAAAACGTTAAAATGTTCATTAAAATGTTAAAATCTTCATTGAAACGTTTAAATGTTCATTAAAACATTAAAATGTTCATTAAAACGTTAAAATCATCATTAAAATGTTTTAATGCTCATTAAAACGTTAAATTTTTTATTAAAACGGTTAAATGTTCATTTTTTTAAAAATGTTAAAATGTTCATTAAAACATTAAAATCTTCATTAAAATGTTTAAAAGTTCATTTTTAAAAACGTTAAAATGTTCATTAAAATGCTTAAATGTTCAATAAAACGTTAAATTTTTCATTACAACGTTTAAATGTTCATTTTTAAAAACGTTTAAAGGGTCATTAAAAAGTTAAAATGTTCATTTTTTGAAACAAGCAGTCTCATTCTGATATCATGTAGAAACAAGCAGTCTCCTTCTGACATCATAAAGAAACAAGCAGTCTCCTTCTGATATCATGTAGAAACAATATATATATATATATATATATATATATATATATATATATATATATATATATATATATATACATATATGTATGCTTGTTGAATATAAATCTTCATTAAAATGTTTAAATGTTTGTTTTTAAAAACGTTAAAATCATCATTAAAATGTTTAAATGTTCATTAAAACGTTAAATTCTTCATTAAAACGGTTAAATGTTCATTTTTTAAAAACGTTAAAATCAGGGGCGGATTAAGGACTGAAGAACATCCGGGGCTTAACACACGCGCACACACGCGCGCGCGCACACGCACATGTGCACGTGACACTCACTAGTCAACATCATATATGTCTTTTACCACATAATTTTTAATCTGAAGCTACATATTAAGCATTTTCAGGGCAGAGTATTGTTCCTGTTAGTGTTTAGTGTCAGATGATAGTAAATATTCCCGTTCTTTCTCCAACAACTTTGACTGATAGTAAGCTAACTTTAGGCAAACCAGCAGCACAACAAATATTTTCAAATAAGACTCACAAACCTGAGTCAGCACCAGTCTCATCAAAGCTGGGGTTCTGTCGTGGTACTTTTGGTCTTAAAAACGTCCTTATGTCCATCTTCACTCATGCGTTTCAGGCAGAGAGTGTAGAAGAAACCGGCTGCTGAGGGGCTTCTTCTTCAGTGGTGGAGGCTCAGGCAGGCTGTATGCAAACTACTGCCAGCCAGGGCCGGCTCTAGGTAATTTGGTGCCCAAGGCGAGACTGCCCATTTGTGCCCCACCCCCCCGCCCGCCCGCACGCCTCTCACCCAAACCCAAGTCCACCCACCCACCACACATTGAAAAAAGCAACTCCACAGTTATTCCTTAGTTACAAATTTTTTATTTTAAATATTCACACAGCAACTCTTTAAAGTCAACAGCCTGAAGAATAAATGTAAGCTTGGAAGATAAGTAACCTGAGAATATTACAATAACCAACAACTCAAATTGTTGTGCAAATGGCATTGGGGGGGATGCAAAATCAAAAGCAGCATTAAACTGTGCAATCAAAAGCAAAACTCAAATATCAGTGTCATCATAAAGAAAGTTCTACTTTCCATTTTGTTCA